TCGAATATTTTTTGATTTAAACTCTTTATATAGCTAGGAAAAAAATTATGAATACTATTTGCTAAAGATGTTTTTGAGAAAACAGTTGGTTTTTGATGTAATAGCAAAAAAACTGTAAATACGAATTTATTACTCTAAATTTTCGACGGAGACGATGTTTATTTGATGAGTATTACAAAAGCCTAGGATAGTTTAGTTTTCTGGACCTTTGTTCTTGAGAGGTCAAAATTTTACTGGATTTTTTAATAAAAAGCTGTGGTTCCCCTCAGCTCACGTAGAAAATTGGCTTTCAAGTTTTGATTTCAAACTTCACGTAAATAAATTTCTCAATGAGATACTCTCAAACGTGAAAGCAAATTTCGTTTATATATTGACATCTCTGAGAAAGAAATGCTAAAACTTACCTAGTTGATTGATTTCCTTCAGAACTTTTCTCATGCAAAGTTTGAAGTCTAAAAACTCAAAAGACAATTTTTCATATGAACTGAGGAGACCACAGCTTGTTATTCAAAAACTCACTAAAATTTTGTTATTTCAAGAAAAAAAGGCCTGGAAAAACAAACCATTGTAAACTTTTCTATTAATCATCAAATAAACATTGTCTTGGCCGAGACCTTATCATACAAATCTGTATTCATGGCTTTTTTGCTATCGTATCGTAAAAATTGATTCTCTCAACAATATTTGTGCAAAAGCATTTATAATTTTTTTCCGAAACCATACAACGATTAAAATATTATGAATACCAAGACTTGATCCTTTGTCGTATTTCGATTTTTATAGACGCCTGATTTTCTTATACTTCATCTTCCTAAGTTTCAGAAGAACAGCATAGTCTGAATATGTCCAAAACAACATTTCTATATATAACTTGGCGAGTTCTATCTTACAAAAACAGAAGAACAACCCAAAAATGATGCTAAAATTGCGTATTGCTGATGACTGCAGAAAGCTGTACGGCGATAAGAAATTTGACGTCCATTTCAAGTTTGTACATTTCAACAGTTATACAAGTCGCATATTTATACCTCAATGATATCATAAATAATAATAAAACATTCAATCTGTTTAACTTTAACTCAACAGCTGTTGATTTTCTTATATTTGCTTTTAAATTAAGATGGCTCGATACAAATCATCATGTCATCAATAGCGTATTCAATATAATATAAATAAAGGCAAAAATTATACAGAAGAAGTTCATTTTCTACTTTCTATGTTACATAAACTTGGTTTTGATAAAGAAAATGTTTATGATGAACTTTGTTACACAATACGAAGATAATCACAATTTCGTTTTGATTCTTTTTTAAAATCGCTTCCATCGATTATTCGAATCTTTTTTTTTCTATAAATTAGGAATTATGACTACATTTAAATATATTACTTACATTTGTTGAACGTCAAAATCAAGAAATTGAAGAATGTGAACGAGCTGAAAAGAAAAAAGTTGAGCATCATCAACAAATAGGAGTACACTCAGTACATCACAATATTTACAATCAACGCCTGTTGTAAAGGTTTTTCATTCGTTATTTTTCTTATCTCATGTTTCTTCTAATTAATATATATATATATAATATAGATTAATGGTAATCAAAAATGTAAACCAGATACATTGGCAACATCATGCTAACAAATCACTAACTAAACGAACGAAAAAATGATTTTAATTTATTTTTTTTTTATGAAAATAAAATTTCCGTCATTGATTTTTATCTTCGTCAAAAAAAAAGGAAAAAAAAATCTCTTAAATAAATTGAAAAATTATATTTTATTTTATTTTTTGTGTCATTTCGGTTTATGAACAATCCAATCATAGATAAAATCATTTTTTATATTCATTGTTTGATATATTTGTTTAATTAATGAAAATAAATAAATATAATTTGGTTCTTCAGCAAAACCAAGTTGTCTTGTGTAGATTAAAAATTCTTGAAATTCTTTTGGTAAATTTAAACATAATACTTCAATATGTGTATGAAGTTTAATTTCATAAATTTTTTCTTGTTTTTCTTTTTTCGTATTACATTTAATACCTTGCCATGGTAAACATTTATTTGCACGTGCTAAATAAATTAATGTATATGCTAATGATTCTAAATCATCACGACGTGATTGTTCAATACCAGCATGAGTACGTAAACTAGCATAACGTATTGTACCTATAAATTGTTTATTATCATTATATTCGATATGTTGACGAGTCTTTTTATTTAAATAATATTTTGATAAACCAAAATCAATTAAATAAACATTTTGACATTTGGAATTAATACCCATCGTGAAATTATCTGGTTTTATACTGAAATAATAATAAAAAAAAAACAGGAAAAAAATGATATACAAAACAAGTCATCTCAATGAAATGAAAGTTAAAACAGTTTGTGAGCTAAAGAACCATTTCAGAGTTGTAACCCATTGAAAAACATTTTATTAATATGCCGTTCTTTTTATAAAACATATGGAGAGTAAGTCTGAGTGCTCTTATCAAAATAATCAAACTATTTTATTTCATTAATTGAAGTCTATTTTAGGTTTAGACAGTTGTTTGAAGAAAAACATTAGACTGGTCTGAGAAATCTGATGAGGTAACCTCTCAAATTGTCAAATCGTCTTTGATCGAGATAATACTTATTTGATAAGTACTAGAGAGTAATAGAAAAGTTTAGATTGGTTTGGTTTCCACGGCTTCATTCTTGAGATATCGGGATTTTATTGGATGTTTCAACAAAAACTATGGTCACGTGACACATCGACTTTCGAATTTTGACTTTAAACTTTGTACGAACAATACACAACTTACTTTTACACATGAGAGGATTTATAATTTTGAATATCTCGTGAAATAAGATACTAGAAAAGCTACAATGTGCTCAATGAATCAAACTCATTGAGAAATTTATTTATGTAAAATTTGACAACGAAACTCAAAAGTCGATTTTTCACGTGGTCTGAGAGGACTACAGCTTCTTGTTGAAAGACAGAATAAAGTTTTGATATCTTAAGAATGAAGAAATGGAAAACCAAACCATTCTAGGCTTTTTTATTATTCACTAAATAAACATTGTCTCGGTTGAAAAAAGATTTGACACCTGGAGAAATTCTCTCGCGAGTGTATATATACATCTTTGAGAAACCTAGCATACATAAACAACTATAATGTGATATTTCTTCGAAATTTATAAAATAATAATCTTAGTCTAAAAAAGAAAAATGAGTATTTTTTTATAGCCATATTCTATTTAACAATTGAAAATGACCCAATAGACTGGTTCAAGAAAGTTCTCGATCGCTTACAATTGATAAGATTTTCTTTCAGAGTGATCATTGTTAAAAATTTGTTAAGATTCAGATTTGCTCCAGGTAATTCCACCGAAAATCTCCCATTTTAAACAGAAGTATCTACAGCCAAGCTGAAACTTTCAGCGATTGAAGGTTTCACTAATCTAAGACATTTGATAAAAAAATTCCACGAACTTTCGCTTGGTATCATAGTTTTTTTCAAACCACAAAATATCAAATATTGGTCTATATAGCCATAAAAATAATTTTTCGCTATTTTGTGATACGGACTTTTTTCTATAACAACAACTCGTAATGGAAGTTTTATATTTAAGTATACAATACTAAGTTAGTGAATTGTGCACAACATTATATCAACTCATTCATACCACTCATTTATGAATTAGCCCCATGCGACATTATGCAAAAATGGTAACATAGCAAAAAATAGACTATTTTCGAGCGTTCTGTTCACCATTGTAATGTAATGGTTAGCCACCGATCTTAGTCGCGCTGAATACATATATCTAATGTCTATTTAAGAATATCAGAATCATGTGTTCAGCATGCTCCTTTTGTCAGTTAAGGTGATACAATCAATGACCCTATAATCAATCCGTCATAGTGAAAAAGTCACCTACTGTGGTCAACATTTCTCATGTAAGCAGAATTTGGCATCAAATCAGACAATAGTGTGATGAAGTACTAGCATTAGTCTATCGACTAGTGTGCTTAATTCATACCGCTATTTCCAGTGAAAATTGCCCAAAAAAAATCGTTTTTTCATGGTTTTTAGTTTTTTACTGACTAAAGTATTTCGACTCTATCTCAGTCGGAACAAAAGCTTTTTGAAATTTTTTGTTTTTATCGAAATACTCAAAATTGAAAGCTCTACAAACTGAGTGGTTCTTTTTGTATGAGGGTCTGAGAGTCCAATGGCAGCCTATATCAAAAATGAACTTTTTCACCTCACATGATCTCAAGAAACTGGAAGTAGCGGAGTGAATTAAGCACACTAGTCGATAGACTAATGCTAGTACTTCATCACACTATTGTCTGGTTTGATGCCAAATTCTGCTTACATGAGAAATGTTGACCACAATAGGTGACTTTTTCACTATGACGGATTATAGGGTCATTGATTGTATCACCTTAACTGACAAGAGGAGTGCGCTGGACATATGATTCTGATATCCTTAAATAGACATTAGATATATGTATTCAGCGCGACTAAGATCGGTGACTAACCATTACATTACAATGGTGAACAGAACGCTCGAAAATAGTCTATTTTTTGCTATGTTACCATTTTTGCATAATGTCGCATGGGGCTAATTCATAAATGAGTGGTATGAATGAGTTGATATAATGTTGTGCACAAGCCACTAACTTAGTATTGTATACCTAAATATAAAACTTCCATTACGAGTTGTTGTTATAGAAAAAAGTCAGTATCACAAAATAGCGAAAAATTATTTTTATGGCTATATAGACTAAAATTTGATATTTTGTGGTTTGAAAAAAACTATGATGCCAAGCGAAAGTTTGTGGAATTTTTTTATCAAAGGTCTTAGATTAGTGAAATCTTCAATCGCTGAAAGTTTCAGCTTGACTGCTGAAGGTCACTGTAAACGTGGAAGATTTCTGGTGGAACTACCCTCAACAGAATAATATTCAATGGGAACTCGATAAACTTTAATTACTATTCTAACTGACAATTAAACAGAAGCAATTATTTGCAATGCTTGAGCAGATTGATAAGGAAAAAAATTATTAACTTGAACAATTTAGAAAGATTGTTTGTTTTATGTTTAGCCCTTATCATTTATTTGAATGTTATTTAATGCGTATTTTTTTTATAATGAAATACTTTTAATCAATTATTTAACAGATGCTTTCTATGCTTGTGTTTATTTATGAACATGTGAAAAATAAAATTTTTACTATGAGAAGAAACATTTTTGTATAATTATCGTTGATGTGTACTGAAGTACTTTATCAAATTTATCAAACATTTTAGAATTAATGAAATTTTTTAACTCAGCATATGAATTCAATGCTTCTTTTTGTAAATTAAGAAACACCTTAATTAAGATTTAGAACTGATTTGATTTAATAATGCCATATGAAAAATATTAATTTTATTGAAATTTTAAATAAGTTTCTGATCTTAATGTTTTAGAACAAAATTTTTTATTCGTAAAAACTGTTTTTCTTCTTTCAGAACATTGTCTCCAGAAGTCATATCTTATTTTTATTTGAAAGAAAATATTTTCCATTCATGATTAAATATTTAATTTTTGAGTTCAAAAGTGACTTTAAAATGTCATAAAGTTAAATAATAGTTCTAATGTTTTTTGTATAGTATAATGTTAAAAAAAAACCTTATTAACAATTTGCATATAAACATTTAGCATTGCTTTTCTCATTATTAAAATTCAAAAAGTAATTTATTTAAAAAGAAAAAAAAATTACTTTTTTCATTCTTTTAATAGATATAAAAGTAAAAGAGAATTTCTTTCTTCTTCTTCTTGTTAACAAATAATGATAATAAATTTTTAATATTTCAATTATTGAATTTGTTTAAAAAAAAACTCACTCTCGATGTATAACAGATCGACGATGTATATGACATATTCTTTCAAGCATTTGTTCACCAAGTAAAACAACAGTTTTAATTGTAAATCGCCTATGACAATAATTATATAAATCTTCAATACTTGGTCCAAGTATTTCAAGTACCATAGCATGATAATTATCTACTGTTCCATACCTTTGACAAATACATATATATATATAGAGAGAGAGAGAGATTGGAGTTCTTTTTTTTTGAGTAAATCTTTGATTATATTCATCTTACCAATACATTTTAGGCATACCAGTTCCTTCAATAGAACGATAGATTTGACTTTCTTTATATAATTGTGGATGATGAGAACTTTTTGATTCAAATTTAATAGCAACTTTTTCATTAGTAATTAAATTTATTCCTTGATAAATATAACCAAATGAACCTGAACTTATTGGTGATTGTATAGACCATCGATTTTTAATTATTTTTGGAATTGTTTCTTGTTGCTGTTTATGATAATAATCGCTTTGAGATAATCGATGTTTATCTGATTTAGAAGAAAGCAATTCTGTTATTTGATGATAATGAGATTTTAAACGCATTGAATTGATTGAAATAAAATCTAGCAACTCTTTCTTTTTTTTTTCTCTCTCTGTCTCGCTGTTTTTTTTACTTTACTTTTTTTTTTTTTGGTTATCATAATGAACAAAGCAAAACATAAAAAATAAATTAGTAGTCAAAAGGCGGGTTGATTAGTCATGTAAGACAAATATATTAAAAGACAGGAGGATAAGCAAAAAAGAATGATGTATAACTTTGTATACTAAATTGATGTTCTCCCGGTCGAATGCAAGCAACAACATTCGTATATATACATCAGGGACAATCTACAACGACATTGCCGATAATAGTTCTCCATCATACATACCAAATGCAAGCTATTATATGCATACAAACTGAGATTTGATTGCAACAATCTTTCTATAAGAAAAGATAGGCATATGAAGTTCTCTGTCTGTCTGTTTGTTATTGCATGATAATGATGATGATGATTATTTGCCTTGCCTTGCCATGTCTTTTTCTTGCCCTGCTATTATCATTTACATTCATTTCATATCACATCATGCTCATCATCGACCATCATAAAGCTAGCAATAAAGCGAATGTATAATCGACATTAACAACTCGACGTCAACGTTAATCTTCCAGTTTTTTCTCCCTCTCTATCATTTTTTCTCTATCGTGTTTCTTCTTTCTCTAATAGCAGAAGAATAGGAGAGAAATTCAGCAAATCGGATGGCTCGTTTTGCCGATGAATCGGACGAATCGAAATGCAGAATCTATCAAGAAAGAAAAGAAAGAGATTAATTTTGTTTTTAATATAAACTGTTTCATGATATCAGTAGCATGTTTCTATCTATATGTTTCATTCTTTCTTAATTCGGATTCGTTGAGGCAAAGAAAAAAAGAAGAAGTAAAAAAGAAAAAAAGAAAGAGCGACAGAGAAAAAAAAGCTAATATATATAAAAACAAAAAAGAAGAAGAAGGAGAGAGCGAGAGCAATTCACTTTTTTTAGTCATCCGCGCAAGAGTACAGATTCATTTATTCTCTAATCTCGGTACGTTTTCTTTTTGATTAATTTTGTATAGATTATTATTACACAAAAGCATTTACTACATTAAGCGTGATTTATTTTTTTCTTTCTTCTTCGCTTGTTCCGCAATGGAAATTTTACGTGCTGAATCAAATGAATTTCATCATTTAAAAGTATGTATTTTTCAATAAAATAATATTTATTTTCTAACAAATATATATATGTATATATATTTGAATAGAATAATGATGGTCCAACAGATGCTTCACCATTATCATCAACAATTGATGATGATGATGATGATGATCATTTTTCAAATGTGAGTATACATGATGAAAAAGTTCAATCAACAAGTACAATTAAAAATGAAAACGAAGACAAAACAACAAATGAAAATAAAGATTCTTTAAATATATCACCAATTATAAATCGTCCAATATCAACAATTGATTATACACGTCATCGTGAACGTCTTGCAAAAGAACTTAAAGATTATGAAGATCGTTGGTTAGCACATAGAAATTTTCTTCTATATACACAATCATTTGCAATGAAACCTGAAGATCGTGAACGTTTATTTTCACAATTAAATACAACTAATAATAATAATAATAATAATAATAATAATAATAACAATGAAGAAAATTCTCCTTTACATCAATTACAAATTCAACAACAATTATTTCATCGTTTATCAAAAGAAGAACGAGATCGTTTTTTAGCAGCTGCTTTATATCAACAACAACAACAACAACAACAAAATCCATATAATTTTCATTCATATCCATGGACAAATCCAACAACTCCATCAATTCTATCTCCAACAGCAAATATTGTTTCACAAATTCAATCATCTTCTGATCATCAACAACCAAAATCACCAAGTTCAGATGATAGTGGAAATCAATCAAATTCTGGTAGTACAACTGAATGGTAAAATTTCAATATCTATTATAGAAAAATAAATAATCATTTCTTTGTTTTGTTTAGGACTTTTGAAGAACAATTTCGTCAGGTAAATTGATATTTATTATCTGATATTTGATTGAGTAGAAATCAATTAGGTTCTGTCTGACTGTTTCTCTATCTCTATCGAGATCTATCTATTGCTTCTGTTTGCACATCATTTGGATTGTGTGCATCACTCGCTCTTTCTTTTGTAGAACGAACGAGTGTTGATAGCTTTGAGGCAATAATTAATTGAAATGTTTGGTATATGTATATATAATATATATATAGATTGAGTACCACAAGAGATGTAACAAAGGCTCATTCATCTATGCTCTTTTTCATAAGTAGCACTTATCTATTATTGAAGACACACGAGTTAAGAGAGAAATCAAAAGCACATCGATCTTCTCTCTTCATCTTGCACAATAATTTCATAGGTTAAATATATCAATACATCTATCAAAGGTAGATCAAGGCGAACACAGACAAAAGAACATATATACATATATATTAATCTGAATAAAGAAGAGAACGTTCACCATCTGTATGAATAGACACGCAAATATTTCTTATTATTTATTTATTAGGTAATTAGAGCGAGAATAAAAAAGATTGATTATTTAAAATTCTTTCTCAACATTAATATCGCATGAGAATAGAGAATTCTTTTCTTTTCTATTTCTTTTTTCTTTTTGTATTGTTGATATTCTGACATATCAACATACAAACATTATTTCAGTTGATTAGATCGAAAAATAATTATCAAGTTGAAGGTTAGAAGAAATGTTATAATGTGTCTGTTTTCATTCTCTTTTAGCTAAGTAAATTACAATCAGATATTGTGATCAATATAGCTTAACTGACATTTCTGTTGGTATTTTTTTTTCCTTTCTTGATCAGGTTTATATAATTATAAAGAAGAACTATTGGCCTATTTATATCCATCAATAAACGTTTATACTCATGCAGCTGTTGTTTCGTTTGTACCTATCCCATAAGACTAATTTCTTTTCTTTTTTTTTCCGTAGTACAATTTTCTTTCGATTAAGGCCAGTCAGTTTTTTCTTGTTGTCTGATGATCAATTTATCGTTTACATTAAAGCAAGAAAAAAAAAGAATATATATCCATGTCAGTCTCACATATATATCGACTAATTGCTTTCATAGAAGAAAAAGAAAAAGACACATTAGCTTGCTCATTTATAAATATGTGAAGAATCTTTCGATTATTGATGGGCTTATGTGTTTTGCTTTATATGCATACAAACGAGATGGATCAACAATTAGTGTGTGTTTCCATATCTTGATTCATAGGAAAATGCTTGATCATCAAAAGATATATATACAGAATGTCGCAAAAAGAAACAGCACAGCTCGCGGCAATATCGATTATTTGCTACTAATTGCATTGTTTAGAGGCAGATGGTTGACGAGAAAATAAATGAACATCTTAAAGAAAAAGATTTCTTTTTATGGACTATTCTATTTCACTTAAGAAATAAAAATGAGAATTTCCAGCTGCTGTCAATCATTATTATTAAAATAAAATCAGCTTAAAAAACATATATGTATATATTGTATGTGTGTGTGTTTTTATTTATTCTATATCAGTCTTATCCAATATGTAAGACACGTTTTTGTTTTATAGTCAAAAAGAATATAAAACGATGAACTTCGCTCTTTTTTTTTCTTCTTCTTCTTATCAATAAGAAGGTCGGTCAAATCGAGCAGAAAGCCGGTCGACCACTTGTGTATGTATATCTTGAAAAGCTTCATCGATCACAATTACAAGTTATAGCTAAGAAAGACATAGAAGATAGTCTTTCTTTTTTCTTAATAGAGACAAATAAACAAATCATCGTTGTATATATACGCTCGATTAGAATAATTCTTCGGGAGGAGAAGCAAATTATTGATAAATTTCCTGTCTTGTAGTGAATTAATCTAATGAAAAAAGTCGTTCTCTTTATATTCTAGCTCTATGAATTATCCGACGAACCAAAACGTAAAGAATTTCTTGATGATTTATTTGCATTCATGCAAAAGCGTGGTTAGTATTAAATACAAAAATCTATCCAATAAGAATTTATTTTCTATTTTTATTTTAATTGAAAAGGTACTCCGGTTAATAGAATACCCATTATGGCTAAACATGTACTTGATTTATGTTAGTACACATTTCATTTTATATTAAAGAAAAAAAAAAAACTGAAATTTTTTATTTTTAATTTTTAATCAAGATGAATTATTTCGTTTGGTTGTTGGTAAAGGCGGTTTAGTTGAAGTCATTAACAAGAAATTATGGCGTGAAGTGACGAAAGGTCTTAATTTACCAAGTTCGATTACTAGTGCTGCATTTACTCTACGTACACAGTATGTATAAATATTTTTTCTCTCAAGTGTTGACATATATAGCGTGTTGGACTAATAAAACCTGATTAACATCAAGAGTTTTTCTTTCTCTCTTTCTCTCTTTCTCTCATTCGCATATGTTGTCTATCATTTATCATATGTCAATGTCTTGAACATATATGATGAGAAATCAATTTGTTTATAGTCTAGATTCTCTTTTGTGTTTCTTTGTTTAATTCATCATGAGAAAGATATAATATAGTTTTAATTTGTTTTTATTTTTATTTCTTAAGATATATGAAATATTTATATCCATATGAATGTGAAAAATTACAATTAAGTTCACCAAGTGAATTACAAGCAGCGATTGGTAATATAGAATAGGAAACCTTTTCTCCTAGATAACAATATATCATTTATTCATCTCTATAATAGAAGGAAATCGACGTGAAGGTCGTCGACCGTCTTATACATTTGAATATTCATCACCGCCACAAATTATGCCTCCACCACCACCGCCACCACCACCAACAACAACAGCAGCTGCAGCAGCAAATTCTTTTCTTGCTAGTCCACTTGCACACAGACCTTGTAAAGAAATTTATTCATACGAGATTTTCTTTATCATATATATTTATATTATTTTAGTGGATTCAAATCATGCTGCAATGGCTGCTGCATTATCTCATCCATTTTTTCTTGCAGCTGCAGCAGCAGCATCATCATCATCATCACGTGATGTTAATGAAATAACACCAACAGCTTCACGTATATCTTCATTTGATGATCATCATCATCATTTAACATCTCCATCAACAATAAAACGAAGTATTTCACCATCATTTTCATCTAAACAAAATGATGATAATATAAAAAAATTTGTTTCAACAATAAATAATAATTTAATTCATTCAAATTGTTTTACACCTTCAACAACAAATAATTCATCATTATTATCACAAGTTAGTAAACTAAATATAATTGCAAAAGGTAATTTTATTTTAATATAATTTTGAATTACATGAAATTAAAAGAAAAATTTCTTCATTTTGTCTTTTCTAGAGAATAATCTTCAACAACAATCAAATGAAAAATCAATTCAACTTTCCATTGAATTAAATGGAATTGCTTATCAGGGCACATTATATGCAACAACATGTACCGGTAGCAAAGAGTGAACTATAAAGCATTTATATGTGTGTTTGTGTGTGTGTGCGCGCGCTTTTGAACGATTATTTGCAACATATTTTTTTTTCAATAATTCTTCACTTTTTTTTTCTGTTTGTCTTCTTTCTCGTTTCGTTTGTTTTTTTTTGTATTTGACAAAATTAAAGCAACGTTTCTTTTCTTTGTGCATATAATTAAATAATTATATGAAATAGCGAATTAGAATTTTTATTGTATGAATGAAATGATCATCGAATAAGATATATTAATAACTGTAAAAAGAAAAATATATGAAAACACTGAAATTTTAAATGCTTTACATCAATCAATTGAAAGAATATTTCATGAGTTATTAATGTCTTGGTTGCTAATTAGAAGTTCAGCCGAAAATAGAGATGTGAGTGGTCTAGAGAAAACTCTTGTAAAATTGAAAAACTCCTTCAATATTCGGTTTTTTTATTAATTTAATCCACAACTACTACTTTTTTTGAGTTATCTTCTTTTGAATTATGCTCTGATAGATATGATTTATCAGATAATTCGCGTAGAATTAAGGAATATTTAGCTAGAATAGTTAAGTCAGGTTGGCATAACTTTTTCTCTTAGTATCAACCTCAGTCAATTCTCCTTCATATGATTCCGATCTTGATCTCGGCAAAGTTTGTCTCCTGTAGTTCGAATCCTGGTTCCGGTGACCCAGATAAGGACTAAATATTTGATCTTGTACATTTCTAATGGAGAACATAGAGTTGCTTTTATAGATTCAAATAGACTAAAAAATAGTAAAGCTATCACCAGGTTTTAAAATACAAGATAATCAACTGATTTGTATTATTCATTATTAGTACCTAAAAGTTTACAGTCATAATAGAAGTGAATCGTGAATAATTATATATCACTACTAAAGTAACGAATTTAAATCAGTCGTATAAGGAACATTTAATTGAGATTAGAGATGTAAACCTATCAGCTGAATTGTTACCTTCTTGAAACTAAGAAGAGCACAGAAAAAAAAATTATCGAAAGATTTCAATCGCTGAACAATGCATTGGTTAACAATTCTCTTTGTAACTAAGAAAAGCAAATCATTAAATTTTATTTAAAATTCGTTTTGTATATTTGATTATCCATATTACATATATACCTAAAAGATACCTAAACGAGTTGCATTTGAAGTTTTTTTTTAACAAAGTGTGAATTCTTGAAAGTCATTGTTTTACTATTCGTGACTAATAATCTCATGTCCTATTTTCAACTTCGAAGCAATAATACTGAAAAGCAAATAAGTAATTAATGACAACGTTCTTTTGCTGTATTATGTAATTATTTTTCATCATTGAAAAAGTACATGAATTAAAAGAAGACAAATGTATTTAATTGCATAAGAAAATTTTTTCATTCAATTTAACTTTGTTTGATACACGAGAACAACGTTGCATTATATGAATTTCGGCCCAGATTGCATGCAACAGATGTCAATGTAAAAAAGCGGAGTGCTCAATATGACTACTAGTTATATTTCCTTGATCCAATTTTTACTAATAAATGCTTCATCATAAATTCTGCTCATTTTTTTTTCGACCTTTTTATTGCGCGCAAATTCATTTTTTAGATATTTCTTGACATCTCATCTTAAAACACTGTTGAAAGTTCGATAAAAACCGATTCATCACTTCAAGGAGTACGAGTATATACCAAAATGGAAATATCATACTTTTGTAGTTCCAAATACAGTTAAGTACATTAACGTGGCTTAAGCCATCGTTATATTGTCCTCATTTTTGTACTTCATTGTTCTCTTGGAGTTCGCCTGAACTCATTCATAGAAATAATCAAAAAAAAAAGATATTGTTACTTTATTCAAACTTTTTATTTGTGTCATATAAAAGTCTAGATGCTCTTTTTCTATAAAGTCTGACGCATCAGTTCTATTGGTGGCAATATATAGATATATAATATTGAAAAAAAAAGATAGTCTGAAATCTTTTTCATAACAAGATTGATGACAACTAAAAGAAATCTTATATTGAATCAATTTCTTCTAGAATGGTACATATATGCGCATATGCTCATATATGAAATTGTATTTAGTGATGAGGATGTTATTCATATTTGAGTTTCTGTGTTGAATACAGAAGGTCTTTTTAATCTTTTTCTTCGCACGCCTGACAAGTTACCATTCAAATGCTCTTTGAATGAGAAAGACGAACAGAAAACAAACGACAAATGATGTTCATAAAACTGTAGTTGTTGTAAGGCTCATGCAAATCAGCAGCTGCATTTTTCCATTTTTAGATATATTCAAGATCTCTCATACGGGTTCTTTTTACCAACAAAAGACTAGAGATTAAAGAAGAGAACTAATCCGAAGCAGGAAATCTTCATTTGGTACTGCACGAAAAACCAGAGTGTGTCTCCCTGAACCTCACGACAACAACGAAGGGTTAAACTCAATGGAAAACATCTTACTTGTATATTTTACTATATTTTAATGTACTTTAAGCTACTTTAAAATATTTTCGGCATCAGACTTGAATTTATCTCGACACTACTTGCAACTATTGTGGAGCAGTTTCCACCATGCATGTAGTTGCCGCTTGGAAACAACGAGCTGTGTTAAATTCGATTTGACCAACGATTGTAACAATCATTAATAGACGCTGTTTTCAAAACAATAGACTCAAACTCAAGAGCACAGTACAGATTTTTAAAGATAGCATGTGTATTCTGGCAAAAAGTACCTAATCTAAATTCATACAAAAGAGTAGACTCCTTTTTGTTGTGTTAAGCAAAATGAATCAAAGCATTCCAAGGCATGTTTAATAGTTTGAGAGATCATTTCTTGAGAAATATTAATATCGAAGTCATATTGATTTTTAGATTTTTGACTCACACCAGTCGAACAACAATAACAGTAGTACAAGAAACAAGCTTTCTTTAATAAGAACTTCTCATAATGATTGATATAAAAGATCCTACACAATATTATCGAGATGATCTATTCTTAAAGATCATCAGAAAATATATTTTTAGTTTTGCGATTTCTTCGGGCTCCAGCCGAAAATTCCTTGAATCAAAATTATAAACTCTCAAGAAGTTTGTTCGATTGAATTACTATTTTGCAATATCATCGAGTAGCGACATCGATCGTATGGACGCATTTAATATCCACTCACTCAACCAATAAGTGCTTTAAAGAATTCCCAATGAATCATTTAACATAATTTTTCTTCTTCATAATTCTTCTTTCATTTATTCAATTAGATATGTCTTCTCGGAATCGAATGTCAACTTCATCTGCTTCTAAAATCGATCATCCTTCATTAGCTCTTACTGAGAGTTATGATGAAGAGATCGCTCCTTTACTTACAACTATTGATCAAAGTAAATCTTTTTTCAAAATACGAAAAGAAACTCATAGTTTTCTTATTTTTTCTAATTCAAGTTCGAAATCGAATCGCTGATATAGATACAACAATTGATCTACCAGCTATTGTCGTTATTGGTGAACAAAGTTCAGGTTTGTTTTTTATATTTTTCATTAAATATATCATTAAAAAAATTATTATATTTCAGGTAAAAGTAGTGTTTTAGAAGCTTTATCTAGTATTCCTCTACCGCGCGGTGGTCAACATATGACAACAAAATGTCCTCTTGAACTTCGTATGCGTCGTTCATCAACATGGCATGCAAGTCTTGAATGTTCTGGTCGTCTCATACGAGATAATATTCCGAATGCACATGATATTGGTCAACATATAAATCATGAACAAAATCGTTTAACAAGTAATCGTGATCAAATATCCAAACAAGTTCTTTTACTTAATATTCAAGCACCTTGGTTACCAAATTTAACATTAATTGATCTACCAGGTATAATACAAGTAACATCAAAACAACAAGATAGTGCATCAGTTAATATAATTGAAGAATTAATACAAGAATATCTTGATAAACCATCAACAATTATTCTTGCTATTATTCAAGCTTGTAATGATATTGAAACATCAGCAGCTATTAAATATGCTAAAATGTTTGATCCCGATGGTGAACGAACAAGTACGAGGAATTTTTTTCATTTCAAATTTTCATTTTTCTTTTTTTTTGATACAAAATTTTAGTTGGTGTTTTAACAAAACTTGATCTTGTTGATCGTGGTGCTGAACAAAAATTATTAGAAGTATTTGATAATAAACGTATTCCATTAAAACATGGTTATTTAATGGTTAAATGTCGTACACAAGAAGATATTGATAATAATATTGAATTAAGTATGTGTAAATCAAAGAATTATTATTTAGTTTTAATAAATCATTATAATTTTAGGTGAAGCACTTCGTAAAGAAGAACAATTTTTTTCGAAATCATCAAAATTTCAATCCGTACCAATTGAAAGACGTGGTTGTCCATCATTAGCACGATTTTTAACTCGTGAACTTGTTCGAAATATTAAACAATCTTTACCACATCTTATTACAGATTTACGTGGAAAAATTAACAATATTGAACAACAACTTCGTCATTTAGGTATTGATGATTATACACAATTATTACTTACAAATGAAGCACGTTCAAGATATTTAACTGATAAATTATTTGCTGCTATGCAATTATTTCGTACAGAAATTCATGGAGTTGAAGAAGGTGCACAAGTGAATAATCCATTGTATGCTAAGAGAAATGAATTAAATCAACAATTTTATAAAAATATGCATAATTGTAAATTTGAGAATACTCAACTTATTCAATTAATCAAATCAGCTATGATTGCTACACAAGGACCAGAACCATCCGATGTAAGTTTTCCAATAGAGCACTGAATTTACTAATTCTTCCAGTATTTTCTTGTAGAAGATACTGATATCGAAAGGATTAAAATGATCTTTCTTATGATCGTCTTTCTTCTATCTTATGAGAGAAGTTCTTCAACTGATAAGTCCCTTTTGAGTTGAGACTATATGTATTAATGGAAGTTTTTTATAATGAATGTTGTGAAAGATACACTTAAACCATAGCTGTATCTTAGGATAGAAACATTCATAAAAAAAATTTTCTCGTTAAGGCTTTCTCTATGTCAAATTTCAAATCGTGCTCTAATAAAGTGAATTTCTAGAAGTATAACAAAAGAAAATTTACTTGAATTATATCATAAAAAAAAGTTCATTTCTACGAATATCTTTGACATATTTATAAGATTTTCTTATATTTTTTCATTAATCTTTATATTAAACATTGATTATTGTATTTCAGTACATTTTATTTCGTGTAACAAAAACTGTATGTCTTAATTATATAAAAGCCATACGTGTGCCAATGGAACAATATTTATCACATATGATTGAACGTACAAATAATGTTATATCAAATGTAATCAATAAAGTATTTCATATGCGTCCAAATTTATTAAATCAAATACGTTTAATGCACGAAACTCTTGAGCAACAATTAAAGTCAGAATGTCATAATGAGTTAGAATTAATGCTTGAAATGGAGGAATCATTTGTGTATGCTGATAATCCATTATACAAAGAAACATTAAAACGAATTAAACGTATACACCAACAAAATTCTCATGATGCCTTAACAACAACAATTGTACAATCAGCGCGAATACCTTATACAACAACAAATGTATCAACAAATTCTATAACAACATCATTAAAACGAACCAATGGTGCAATGAGTGAAGATAATGATGATGATCTTGATGAAGAATTTAGTCCACCAGTTAAAATATCTCGACCAAATAATTCTTCAACAAATCGTTCATCTTCATGTAAATAGACTAGATTTTATTCGCAAATATTGTCTTTCTCTATATATGTTCTTATAGTTTGGAGTAACTTATGGCCTACTTCACGACAGGATATTCCCGAAAATCTCACTTCAGATACTAACGGTCAGTTTCAAATCGATAGAGAATCTTCAGAAACAAAAATTTTCTTCCTGTTTAATCTCTAAATAAGTTCAACTTTTGTTGTTTATACTTTATGTCAATGATAGAGATCAACAATCTCACATTTGACGAACTGATGAGAAAGTCTTTCGAGATGTCAAATCGTTTTTCGACCGAAACGATGTTCATTAATGAGTAATAGACAAGTCTAGAGTAGTTTGGTGTTCTGGCTCTCCGTTTTCTGAGATATCACAATTTTACAACTTGCTCAACAAATCAATCTTATTGAAAACTTTATCCATGCGAAGTTTGAAGTCGAAACTTGATTTTTCAAATGACCACAAGTTTTCGTTGAAAAACTCAGTCAAATTTCAATATCTCAATAGAGAAAGTGTGAAAAAACCAAACAATTCTATATTTTTCTATTACTGATCAAATAAACATTATTTCGGTCGAAAAGCGATTGGATACATGAAGAGGTTCTCTCACGAGATATCCATCCGTGCTATTTTTGTTCTTTTTTGAGATAGGCACTTTTAGGTGGAAAGTTACCGTTACGTTACCAATTGTCAATCAACAGAAGTTTATCAACGAAAGGCTATTATTATAGAAAATGGTGATTTTCTTTAAATAGTTATTTCCTAACGAAAGAATCGAATCTACAAATTTACCAGCTACCTATTACTTGTTAACATAACGGTAACTTTCTTTCCCGTCTCCAGTGATTAGACTCAGTGGGATCACTAGGGTTCAATGTAATCAACTTTTACTTTCTTGACAAAATTTTTCGGACAGCTTAATTTTGAAAACTGAACTATTTGAACAGATTTTACAATAGAATTCAATCTATTCGAACAATTCTTTAATCTTAACTTTGAGTTGATCAATCCGTAATAAAGGATTTTTTTGTGAATTTCAGACATTCGTTCGTCATCCGAGTATGTTTCATCATCAAGACCAGTAATTTTACCTGCAACAACAAATGTTGTCAATGATAATACAATCGATGAAGAAATTATTGACTATAAAATTCGTATATTAACAATGCAAGACATTATATGTCAACGAATTATTTTAACATTTCCTCAACGTATTGAATATCAACTTGTACGAAAACAATTTTCTCAACTTGATTTACAATCTTCAATATTAAGTAGTACAAGTCTAGAAAAACTTGAATATTTAATGGCACATCATCCAGAAACAGAACGTCGTCAAAATGATCTGATCAATAAACGAAAAATCTATGATGAAACAATCAAAGAATTACAAAATCTTGAACAACAACAGTCAAATTCAAATACGGCTTAAATCAGATGGTCATACTTCCTTTAATTTGACATATTTAATATACATTTTTCTTTGTTCTTTATCTAGTATTTTCTTTTCGCGCTGTTGTGTTTTTTTCTTGTCCTCCGATTAATATTTTAATTTTACATTTAGAAAACAAGAAGACAAGACAAAACAACATTGTTACATATATGTTTTTAACAATAGATTAATGAGATATATATGTTCATATATGAACGTTCTAAGCAGATAGCATGAATACTGACACGAGAAAAACTAGTAGTATTACAAAAACAAAAAAGAAATCTGGTTCTGTTATGTTTCAATTGTAATTGTTGCAACTTTATTGGATTCTTCCATTCTTTTTCTCATATTAGCCATTTTTATTTCTTGTAATGTTTGTGGTTGACCTTGTTCAATAACTCCATGTGCTATATTATCTAAACCACGAACTTGAGCTACTCGATCTATACGAATACCAATTGTAAAATGCATTAATAATAGAATAACTGCTGTACATGCAGCTGAATAAGTACAAGTTATAAACATTCCAATTAATTGATACCAAAGTTGTATAGGATTACCATAAAATGCACCATTATTTACATCACTATTCACATCTGTTTGACAAAATAATCCAGATAAAATTGTTCCTATTAAACCACCCAAACCATGACAACTAAATACATCGAGGGTATCATCAACATGAAAAAACCGTTTTTTACCATCAAGAAATAAATAAACAATAAAACCACCAATAAAACCCATTAAAATTGCATAACCTGGCTGTACATAACCAGCAGCTGGTGTTATTACAACAAATCCAACAATAGTAGCCGAACAAAGACCTCGAATTGTAATAACATTAGATGTATTTCCTCTTGCGTTACCAACTATAATATCAAGAACCATCCAAATAATCATACTTGATGCAGCACTTACATTTGTATTAACAACAGCTAATGAAGCAAGACCTATAAAAGAAGAACTTCTATTTATCGCATAATGAAATTGTGGAGGTGAATTAACAATTTTTATTATCAAGGTTCTAGGGTATTTGAAGAACAATTTATCCGACATATTTGCAATTTTCAGAATCGATAGATCTCGATGAGTTGAACAAAAAGCGTCTCTAAAAAATTTTCTGTGTATGTATCAGCATTTTATTCTCCAGTTAAAGTGAGTAAAAACTAAATGTATTGAACAAAGTTAGAGGTCCATGATTCACGCTCTCAGTACCTTTGGAATAAGAAATAATCATTATCATTAGAAGAATACTGCATGTGAAGGATAATCGTAGCGTTAGTTTTTTTTGTGCTACAGATTTTGAGAGTTAATTAGCGATGAAAAACTAAAAGTTGAACAAAACTTGTATTTTAATATCTGGAAAGAAGAGGGATCCTTTAAGACTATTGCCGCCTCAAAAGAAATTAAAATTAAAATGAATTCATATAAAAATAGCTCGAAGTCTACTATTTCATAAACGACATGCGTTTTTATATTGCATCTCGTATTTTTTCAAAAAATTTCAGATGGTTTTTGTCATGTTCTGTTGAAAAATATGCTTGTTGATTGGATAACTGAGAATTCTTTGTGAACTGTTTTTAGTTTGATGGAGCATTTCAAAATGTAGAATATGAGAGTCCTTTTCTTTTTAATTAAATTTTTTTAATATTATGCTAAAGAGAGTTTTATACTTAGAGCGCTAGTTTTTGGCAGTTTTTCGAGTTATTCAACTTTTTTCTGCATCCTGACATGCTGTTTCAAACAAACAAATATTAAATGTATTAAAAACAGGACCCACAGAAAATTTTGAATTTCTAAATAAGCTTTTTTTTGACTCTTGTTCGTTGAATATTTCCCGAAAGGTTCATCATATAGAACTAAAAGTTTTATCATGGTCTATCCACTACAACTGCAATATATGCTGAAAAATCTTTTGTGCTTTGAATGTACTAGCCTTCAAGTTCAGTTTTGAAGGGATATCATCTTATAGGTCTACACAAATTGTAGTTTTATAATAATTTATATCCTAATATTGAACAAGATTGTTCAGGTGATTTCAAACTCTTGTGTTTTTGGTTCAAAATTCATTCAGAATGAATAAAAGAAATTCAACTTATCGTTACGTACCATTAGCAGAAAGTGCTGAACCTCCATTGAACCCTATCCAGCCGACCCAGAGCAGGCCTGTGCCCAAAATAGTAAACGGAAGATTACTGGAACCTGTAATTGCGACATCCGGATCAAAATGAGCTCGTGAACCCAGAATAACAGCAGCAACTAATCCTGATATTCCACTTGATACATGAACAACAAGACCGCCAGCAAAATCGATGATACCCATTTTATACAGCCAACCTTCATGAAAAAGCATCCATCTTGCCAGAGGATCATAACATAAAGTTGTCCAAAGAAAAATAAATATTATATATGGAATAAGTTTCATTCTTCCAACAACAGCACCACTAATTAATGCTGGAGTCAGAGTTGCAAATGAGCATTCAAAAGCAATGAGTACGAATGTTGAAACCGTAGTTGTATCGATGTTATCGACATATTCACCATACACACTAATAAGAGCAGCTTTACGTTGTAAAGCATATTCAAATGAGCCGAATACTGAATTTCCTGGTCCAAAAGCAAATGAATAACCGAATAAACACCATTGAACAGGTACAATTGCCATACAAACAACTGATAGAAACAATTGATTGAGAAAATTTTTGTTTTCAACTAAACCACCATAAAAACATGCTAATGCAGGTGTCATCATATAAACTAATCCGGTTGATGTCATCACCTAAAAACAGAAATTTTATCAGTATATAATTGATAAAATATTGAATTCTACGATATGAATATTATTTTTTTGTAAACAAAAAAATTAAATTTCGTTCAACTTACCCATGCATTGTTACCATATAGATCTGAACTGGAATTCATTTTATTTTCGAGCAATGTAAGCAGTAAAAATCTATAACTAAACTAGATCATCAATATTTAAAAAATGTTTTATTTTTTACTGAGATATTTATTTTTTAAATATTTTTGTATGTTTATATCTCACTCATTCTTTTGTTAATGCTGCCAGCAAAGATTAAAAACTACCAATCATTCTTTAGATAGAGCAATTTTCTGAATAAAATTATCCTTGTGCATGACAACAAATAAAAAAGATATGAACTAACGAGATTTTATTAAGACTTTAAATATAGGAAACTAAGCAGATTTCTATTGATGCATGATTTAGCAAGATTCAAACGCAGCATATGTAATTAAATTTGACATTATTTCAAAATACTCATGTCTATATAGAAATTATGATTTATGATGATAGAGAAATTCTAATCTTTTTTAATCATTACTGAACATTTAGAAATTTGTTTTTTTTGAACTCATCAAATTTGATAAATTTTAAACTCGATTAACCTTAGTAGAAAATAAAGTATTGGTTGAAATCTAATATAGACAATATTGTTTTATAATATGCTTTTTTTTTTGTAAGCCTCGATAAACTTCTTATTGTATTATCTATGCTTCGCAGGCTGTGTCAACTCAAGCAAACATCGTAACAATTCTTCTCTTTCTAGCGTAGACACATACGACTGTACGTTGTCCTCACGGGTCATGCGAATCAATGCATCTTACCTAGATCGTTGTTTGAGAGATAAACATTATTCGAATCCTAAAAATCGATCACAGTCAATACCAATATGACCTGTAAATCATTTTATTACTTAAGTGGACGTACACAGGGTCATAGGCAAAATAATTGTTGAAAGATCTTTGTTTTTAAAACGACTTTACCATTGTTAAAGAACATAGAAAGTTACTCAGAATCCTCAACTTTAACTCAAAATACCAATCTGTGACACATGATGAATTTTTTCATTACAAGCATTTGATCAAAACTATGATCAAATTATACCAATCAATAGAACGGAAGCTATGCTATTAAATCCTATATGTCCTACACGTCATGATTTACTTGAGAACACGAAAAATTCTATTATAATACGTCGAATCGACCATTTTTTGGACTATTTTATATGCTTTGTTATATACTTTTACAAAGTGTCAAACAACGCATCTTTTGACGCAAAAAAAGTGTTGGTTATACAATAGTCGTAAGATTCCGAAAAGTTCATGATAATGTTGCGTAGTATACTTCATTTTTCGGTATTTTCATGAAAATGTATGTATCGTTTTTTTTTTTGTTATCAAAAGCTAAGACCAGAGATTAATATTTGTTTTACTAGAAGATCCAAGCAGATGCCTAAAACTTGTTCGTTCTTTGTCACAAGATATCTAAATTACAATGTAAAATTAAACAAACTATTAGAAGACGCTATCATACACTAACTTGTGCCATTTTTTTCACAAAGAAATAAATACTTACATCTCACTAAAAGTAGTAGCGAAGGCACTTTCATATGTTATGATAAGCTTTAAAAAAGTTTTTCTCTCTGTATGCAGCGATAGTGAAAACGACGCACTATTATCATGAGCTGTTACATCCTTCTTCACCTAATATCCTAGTAATAAAATTTCAGTAACAGCTATTTATTGTGATACGTAATGATAAGATCAGACGATATTTGCTTTGAGGTATATCATCGTCTTGAATATCTTCTTTGTTTTTAATGCCTAACCGTCTATATATATTAGAATGCACCGAAAGTAGTGCCGACAGAAAAACAAAGAAATATACAAACAATTTCATAAAGTTTTTATTTCATCACATGTTGGAAAAAATGGCCTCGGTTTTCCGTGCAAACTTGCATTCGTTGAATTCATTTATTGAGTCTTTTTTTCTATACTCTTCTTTATTTAAAGAGTTCATCACATTAGTCACAGCTTAGATTTTTTGTGATTAAGTCGAGTGACCAAAAATCGCATAGTGTCAGATCTGAACCATTAGTTGGATGTATGGTTATTGTCATATCTTTCGATTCAAGATAATCAGACACATCTTTATGAATATGCAATCACTCATTCGAAACGAATAGGTATTACAGAGGAACTCAGGAAAAAAAAGAAAGAAGAATAATAAAGAGAAGGTCAAGAAAAGAATACACTTCAAAGACAAATATGATCTGATGTTATTAATCATCCTATATCGTGCCACGACACTTCTCCACATCACTCTACTACACTGACACTTCCGTGCAGCATGAACATTTTTACTGTTCCGTTATGTTCAACTAATCATTCTCTTAAACTTTGATTAACTGTTTTCTTTCCATTAAGTAATAACTGACTATGATATGACTTAAAGTATTTCCTATGAAATAACATGTCATTTTGTATAATACTACCCATGTGATAACTGCCACTACTGTATCGGTAGTTTTTTGAAAGTGCTGTATGATGATGTATCATATCTAAACGAATGAATATTTTTAAAGTTTATTAAAACTCACAGAAGTAACTCGTTGTCGATGTGTCCGAGTCACTTATACTAGCCACATAGTACGAATCAGTCCTAATTACGAGATATATGTTCATTAGTAAATTATATTCTGAAAATTTTCTTCTCATTTAATTTGATTTGTTTTTAATGAATAATTCCAATTTATGTTGACAACATACTCTGCAATCATTTTTAGTTAGAAGCGAAAGTCGTTGGCGCTACCACCAACGATAGTACGAACAAACATGCGATATTAGTACCGTTAAAATATGAACTTATTATTGACTATAAATCCAGTATTTCTATTTTTGTAGTTCAAAAATAATCATAAATTTTATATTTATTTTTAAAAATAAGCAATAACGTTAATTAATTAACGTAGAAAATTTTTATTTTCATCTTTTAATAGTCACCTGAATTCATTTTTTGCTGAACTAAATTAACAAAATTAGTCCAACCATAACGATCAAGAATATCATGTGGACAATGTTTTCCACTCCAATCTTGATGTTTACGAAGTCGATCAACACCAAAATTGAAGCGTTTGAGTAATCGTGCAGCTAATCGAGCACCATTTTCAATGGATGCATTACGAATAGCAATATTATCATTTGTTGATTGAGCAATTTCAATACCAATTGAGGCTTTATTACCCTCACCACTACCATCACCTGCATGCCAACCATTTCTAAAGCATAACAATTAAAATAAACATATCTTATTCATGCTCAATCATAATAAATTTACGTGTTGTCTGGTAGAAGCTGAAGGGCATGTACGTTATCAACTACATAATGAAATGATATATATTGATTATCACGACGAGTATTTAGATAACTAGCTTCATTAACAGCTGTTGCTTTATTAGCTGTATTGTGGATAGTAATCCATTTAACTGTCTGAGTAGCACCATATTTCCATTTTAGATTGTAGTCATTTTTGTCTAACAGTTGTGAAAGAACGGTCAATGCACAAGAACTTAGTTGGATCGTTGAAATAAGCACAAAAAATAAAAGAACTAGACGCATATTGATGGTTGATATGATTGTGTAAATGAAGCAAGTAAGTCAAAATAGTAGTTTTATATGCTTATATCACAGCTAAACAAATATTCTTTTGTTTTAGAACCCAGTAATTTTTGTTTTTATCGATATTATATTTCAAAATGAAGGTATTGAATAATCAATTAGATCAGGTGCCAATGACTACCACACCCACTTTCCATTGTTAATTCCATACCGAAGACTGATAATATCTTATGTATTCACATGTATTTGATAAAGAGCAAGAAGAGAATATCGTATTTGGTATTGAGTTTATAAAGAAAAAAAAACGGCAAATTGTTACTTTCGGTTTCAAACCGATGAAATGAGAGTTAACAATAATATCAGAGTTTTAGTAATAAAAATGATTTTAGATTTCTTTATACGATCATCATACAAATGATAATTTATGCTATGGTTTCTTTTAGTTTACTTATTTCTTGTAGCATTTTTGCTAAAGTTGGACAATATAGTAAGTTATATTTCAATAAATAAAGTAACGTAGAACAATAATCCGAACATGTTTAACAATGTTGGGGTTGACGTTCATATTCAGTTGCTTTTACAGAGCATCTTGTTGATCTTTTTTCCATGCACAACTCCATTTTGTAAATAAACTTTGATAAAAACAAGATAGAAAACTGTAAATTTTTTCTTAAAAAGAAATAAAGAAGAGATGTCGATGGATACGAAAAATAATGTCGATTATTTTTCATGCGCAAGTCAATGTTTAAATGTTCTCTAGAAACTTTCTAATAAGTCATAAAAAGGCCTGATTTTCCTTCTTTGAAAAACAAACAATGATGAGATGAGCAGTGAATGTGATAAACGTATGCAGTACCTATGATATTGAGTGATTTTTGGTACCAGTAGTCTTTCTTAACATTTAGACGTTCAAATAAAAGAAAACTGTTATCGCTTAAGTTCTTTCCTTAATTATTGAATTTGCACATCCTTTAATGATGTTTGAAAGTATGTCAGTAGAGATAAAGTTACTCGCAGATATAAGATGAATATCTAGATCACTTATCTGTCTATGTTAAACAACAAGATTAAGTTTTCCACAAAGTTATTTTCGATATTTTCAAAATCTTTGTTCAGTGAATTTATATAATCGGTGTGGGTGTAATAATTCAAGCGACATCAGCAAAAGTCATTAGTTGCATGGATTGCAAAATCTTCTCTATCGACCACCTGAGTTTGTCTATTTATTTTCATGGATGCCTTTGTTTCATGGCTTTTAGTAGTCAATTGTATTCATTTATTTCTAAATCATATTAACAAAATTAGTCCAGCTATAATAACAAAGAATTAAGGTTCATATTCAATTCTATAAATTCAAAATCATTATTATTGACATATGATGTTGAACAATTGTTGAAGAGTTTGTAGGTCGTGAAATATATAATGAAATGATATGTATTGGTAATTATAAAGATTACCTTTGTAACGAGCTGTATTGGCAGCTGAGATTGAATTGGCTATATTGGAAATTTAATTTAGTTGATTATTTGAGTAGTGTTATATTTCAAATTTAGATGATATTTATTCTTTTTAAGAAATCTAGAATTGGCAAAATGTCAGAACTCGATCTGATGGCTAATATAAAAATTAATACAACTAACGGAAAATGTAATTCGTTCTTTTTTTTTTGTAATACAAGAACAGATCAAATTGTATTTTTGTGATCAATATATTTAATATCTTGTTGATTTTAGATTTACCGTACTTTACCAGTTAATTATTTAGAATAAAAAAAAGAAGATATAAAATACACGGGAATAGAACACGTTATTGTCAGAATGTGCTAAATATATAAAAACAAACATTCTGCTTTCAAATATAATAAAATTGCAAAAGATTGTTTAATCATTTTTCAAATTTTATAAAGATACTTTTCAATAAAATCATTTATTTGTTGAGTAATAATTCAGCAATGAAAATTATTTAGCATAAAAACCTATTTGATCAAATAAAAATTTCTTTCGACTAGTTGTCTAAATATGCATTATATATAATTTGTATAATTAGCCATCACAATATAAATTCGATGGTTAATGCTTTGCATTTTTCTGATATAATCAAGTTGTAAATAATTATTTAAAATAAAACAAAAACTGTTGATAAATACAATCAAGATTAGATAAAGGATCGCTATAGACAGTGTTTTATCCGACGTGATGGTCAGGAGAGCTACGCATATAAATAGTCTAGTCCAAATATTCCAGACTCGTACCTGACAGGCTCTCGTAACACCTCTCTGGAGGTCAGGGTCACCCTATTGAAGTCTCTTCAGAAGTGAAAACTTGGATAAAATACTGACAATATGCAAGCCTAAACGTCTCTAGAAAAGAGATGATATATGTTCGATTTGCTAGGATTTCAGTTTGAATGATTTCTCTTTTCTTTCTAATTGTCAATGAAATTACACTAGCATAGTTCTATATTGAATATCTTTGATAGAATAAAATTAATATTTAAACAATAATATCCGAATGCAATTTAATTTATATTTTATTTTGAAAAAATAATAATAAAGTGCTTAAGCACTTTTAACATATTTCTAATGTATTCAGTCGCTTGTTTACATTAGATTCTATAGTTTTTGATCGAATAGATCTTCTATTCTTAATTAAAACAACTGAAATCGTTCACATGGAAAACATCTATTAGAAGGTACAGTTAAAACGAAATAGAAATTTTGTTCTAATAAGATTGCATCTATTTTGAATTATAAATTTAACATCGATTAAGTGGAAATCATATATGTTTATGAAGAGAAGAAAAATAAAACTTCTATGTAATAATGATGATGATGGTGATGATGATGAAAAAAAAGGCAAATAAAGAAAAAAAAGCCGTTCGATTAACATAGATGCACAATAACATCTATTATTGTGTTGCAAAGCGAACGAGAAATAAAGTGACTTGCAGCTGTACTACTTCATTTGCCTTCAAGACTCTATTTCCGATTCGATAGTATCCAACAACACAAAATTTCTTTTCATTGTTTGTCATTCAAAGATTTTTTTTCTCTCACTAATGTATTATATTAAGTGATAGGCGCCATTTATGTTGAAAGTTGAGTATCCGTGTCGTGAGATTTTCTCATCATATCAAAATCCAATCAAATCAACAATTACATGGGCTGAAGCAAAAAAACATTTACATGAAGTTCGTCTTCGACGTCAAAATCAGTTAGCATCAAATATAAATGAATGCCATAAACTGCATACTCTTCATAAACAATTATTTAATCGTCAATTTGATTCAAATTCTATTGAAAAAACTCCCGACGTTAAACTAATAAAAGCAATAAACAGTGAATATTCTTTACAAACAATTAAACATTCAATACCTCGAATCGAATATGCTTCGACTATCTATCGAAAAGCTGATCCAATATTTGAAATTGAATCATCATCGAAATTAGATAATAGTATACCTATAGTAAAAGAATTAACACAATATTTATCTGAAAGTTCATATACAATATCAAATGAAAACAAAGAAAAGTATTATAATAAAATAAATAAAAATATCTATAATTCTTTATTATCTTTTAGTAATCAATCATTATCGTCAATAAAAAAAGATCAACAAAGACGTTTAAGTGTTTCATCTGTTTCATCTACTGATAAACGTGCAAATAAAGTCTATGAAAAATGGCCAGATTATAATCAAATTAGTGAAATAGTTGGTTATCGTATTGAACCAAAACAATCAAAAATCATTACATCCGATGCTATATCATCTCGTCCTTCACTTACTCGTAATCAACGAAAACGAAATACAGCAATAAGATTTCCTACAACTTCAAAACAAATAAAAAATGTAATGAGTTTAAATCCTTCACCAACACGACAAAAACTGTCAAAAATAAAACAAGCAACTCAAACTGATGTTACACCAATAATTATCGATCAACCAGCTCTACCAATCGAACACGTTCCTTCAACTAATCTAATTAAAGAAATTAAACCAAAACTACCAACTATTCTTTGTCCATCATCAGTTGCATATTCAAATCGAGTACAAACTCGTCAATGGTTAATAAAAAATAATTTTTCATCCAATTCAATGCGAACACTTCCTCTCATGTAATATCTATTTTTTTTTTTTTTGTTCATACTGTTTATTTAGCCAAAAAGAAGAAAAAAGATATGTACAATATATATAACACTGTCATATAAACAAGATGCTAAATTATAATTGAAGAAGAAAAGGAAAATACACCGAAACAAAAATATATCATTGCACAAAATAACACCTTCTATGTTCAGGAATTATAATAGGAATGTACAGTTTCAGTCCACTGAAGTATTGGAATATATTGCTACAAAAAGGACATATTGTGATAGAGTTGGTGTCTCAATGCTGCAGCGAACGCAAATATCAATGTTTCATGAAGAAAGGTTTTCAACTGATTTATTGCTTTTGAATTCGAACTCTGTGTGAAAGGTAAAATCTAGTAACATATGAAAAATCTCACAAGGGCAAGTTTCCTTAGGCCGTTTGTCCAGGGTTTACCAGAATTTTAGACTCTGACTTTGTATATACCAACAAATCGAATGACCGTATTTTGACTTGAGATTTTGTATGCATCATGCCTGAGGCTGAAATTTCAGTAAAATATCTATAACTATGGACAGAAGACTTGTCATTTTGAGATTTCCTATACTTAAATGAACTCTACATTATGCATTCAGATCGAATTCAAAACCGATTATTGATCAATTGAAAATATTCCTTCGTCAGTCAATTCTGTGTCGATGATTGATTGTTTAGTATTTACATCAACACTATACATTTATCAATTATACTAATATAGTAACAAGTTTTCTAGGTGTTATTGGTATTGTTGAAGGTGGAAGTGTATCATATGGACATGAATGATCAGAATCCTAGAAAAAATAAAGTTTTACATCAATAAATAAATAATAATACAACAATAAAACAAACCTGCCAAAAAAGACATTTACATAATTGACATTGATGTATCATTTCAGCATAAACTTCACGAAGGCCATATTGTCTTTTTAATTTAAAATAAGCTGTTTTCCAATCAATATTATTTGTATCAATATCATCTTGTTGTTTTCTCATTAATCCAAGAATTTTTTCTCCTAGTTTAGAATTATTACTATTTTGTGTATCACCACCAAAATGATAAAGACATAATTGACGCCAAATAAGTAATTCTTGTGATACTCTATATAAATTTGAATTAATCATTCCAACATTAACTATATCTGTACCATTATCTAAACGACTTATAACTTCTCGTTGCATATCAACTGGAAGATAATCAAATGTTAATTTACTATTATCTTCATCGGTTTTTATCATATTTGTTTGAACTTGTTTTATTGTTTCTTGCATTCTCGTTAACATTTTAATATGTCGTTGCCATAATGGAGCTGAACCAATATAATAATAAAATGGATATGCAGATTTTATTGAATTATGAAATTGTGTAACTATTCGCTGTATTAATGATATATTATCTCCAGTTTTAAGAACTAAATATATAACAAAATTGAAGTCGAAATTTTAAAAATACATATTATTTAAATGATACCCATATCAATCATTCGTTCAATAACTTGAAATAAAGAACGTTGAGCATTACCACTTAATTCACCTAATTTTTCTTTGAATAAGATTTGGACGACCTTGATTTCAACGTAAAGTATACAATAAGCTACGACAAATTCTCATTAACTTACTTTAGCAATATAATTAAAGCGTCGAATATTACTAACTGAATTAGCTATTTCAAGTGCATTGAATATATCCGATAAACTTGAATTTAAGTTTATTGACTATATCGAGGACATATGATTATAATCAAACAACGAAAAATATTAAAACTTACTGAACTAGATAATGAAAGTCGTCTTGGCCGTTCCCATGAACCAATATCAGTTTTTGTCCATTTTTCACCATATGCACGCCAATCTCGTCCAATAAATGGCATCGTTTGTTTCTATTTTTTTTATGTTGATATTCTATGATATTGATTAACAAAAATGATAAATAAGATTCGATGATATTTAACTACTAAGGTAATCAGCAAGGCAAGTCAATAGAATGTGCTTAGACAACAACAAAAGTTTGATTTTGAAACGAAGGTCGGACCAAATAACCGGTTTTTCTTTTCTTTTTTTTTGGCTTTTTTGTTTAGTATTTGTATGTGATGTATGTATGCACGAATGTATAGGCTTATAATAGAGCTCAGGACAGAAAAAATGAGAAGAACGAAGACGGATAAATGAAAAGAACAGGGATTGTCTCTACTCACGAGTTTCGCTCGTGCTCTCGTTCATATGATCGACGCCACTCGTACATATAGAGCAGGAAAAAAAACGAAAAAAAAAAAAGATTAAGAACAACAACATATCAATAAGAGAACAACAACTCAAGAATTTGTCTCAAGTCATCAAATGATTCTCTTTCTTATAAGAGTCATCTGATACGTATTTGCAATAAATACAAAGAAAAAAAAAGAGAATGACGCATATATTTTGCAATTTCATCAATATTAAATGTCTATTGATTAGTAAAGAAAAAAATAGAAAAAAACCGCAACTTGTATTCAAGGACATTCTCTTTTCGTTTTTTTTTTGCTATCTTATTGAGTATTCCACTAAGGACTAAGAAAAAAGAAAATCTGATGCGTTGTAAAATAATGCATCAAGTCAACGGAGATCACGCGCACAATTTTTTTTGCACTATTCAACATCAGCAATAGACCTCATGGATGGCTGGCAGCATATCGAATAAGCTCATAGCTAGAGGAAAGAACGCGCAAGAAAAGAAAAGAGATCTCATTACGCATGCGTTTACTAGTCGATTCTCTGATGCATCCCACTTTTTTTTCTTCACACTATATAGACTCGTCAAAGTCTGGAGGTGAACAAGCGGACGAAGGAAAATGAAGAACAACACGAACAGAACGAGAAAAAAAACCCTAAAGAAGGAACTAAGATGGCAAATATAATACATTAGTTTCAATCTAATGGCAACGTTGTTTATGAACCTTGATACTCTATTTTTGATTAAAATAACATTTATTTATAATCATTTTTCAACTAAAACTAAAAATATTCTTTATTAAATAAAAATTGTTGTAGTTTTTGCTGTTCATATGTTGGATAATCTGTATAACCCTCTGCTCCACCACCACACAAAGCTTTCCAATTTAAGTTCGTATTTAATTCTTGATTTTTAATCAAACGTTCAGCTAGATCTGGATTTGAAACATACAATCGGCCAAATACAATTGCATCAGCCATACCAGATTTTAATGCGTTTGCACCTTCTTCACTATTAAAATCTGTATTAATAAAAAATGCTGTATGTTTGGAATTGATTAAATCTCGCCATTGAAATATATCAACATTTTTTCCACGATTTACTGGATCTGCAAGAGCCCAACGACGTGCTAATTGTATATATGCAAGACGTCGAGCATTTAATTCTTTGATAAGATATCCATAGGTTTCAGCTGTATCATTGTCAGTCATACCCATATCATTATAACCACCACCAGGCGATAGTTTAATACCAACACGATCATTGCCATAAACACGAGATATTTCATCAATAATACGTAATGGAAATCGACAACGATTTTCTACTGATCCTCCCCATTGATCTGTTCGATGATTTGATGTATTATCAATAAATTGATGAGGCAAATAACCATGTGCACTAATTGAAAAAATATCTTTCTGTCTGAACGAACGAAAACATAAATAAGTTATGTTACCTATGTAATTCGACTCCATCGAATCCAGCTTCTTTAGCTCTTTCAGCAGCTTTTTTATACAACGAGATATAATGTGTAGGGTCTTTAATTTCTTCTGGTACAACATATCCAGATTCACCTGGTATTTGTGGAAATTTACCACCTTGTGCTGCTATCGCTGATGGTCCGACATTTGGGCGACCATTTTGAAGAAGTGGATGAGCTACTCGTCCAATATGCCATAACTGAAGATACATTAAACCTTGACGAGCATGAACACTATCAACAACTTTCTTCCAACCAGCTTTTTGTTCATTTGTATAAATACCAGCTATACTTTTAATATACATTATTGATAATATTAAAAAACAATAAACATGAGCTACTTACGTGCATTACTCCATTCAGAACCAAGTTCTTCGATCAATGTACCTTCACTAAGAATAAGACCAGCACCAGCACGTTGTGTATAATATTCTATTTGAAGTCGACCAGGAATAAGATTTCGATCACGTGTTATTGATGCCATAATAACACGATTTTTTAAGAGTAAAGGACCCAGTTTCAATGGTGTTGCATACGACGGCATTTTATGTTTTGAAAATGCAGTAATAACGAAGCGTGTTTTTTTGCTTCTCTATAGAAAAAAATAAGTGTAACCTTCGTATTTTTCTTCCTGTATATTTCTACCATGTGCAACGAATAGTAAATATGCAGGTCATGCAAATCGTAAAATAGTATATTTACTTCTTTTTTTTTACCAACATTCAAATAGAAATATACATTGTTGGTGAAAACAGTGAAATACTTGAATTGACGTTTACTAAATCCTCGATTATCCCTCTCATCAGTATTTACTGAAGTACTAACATTATAGTTTACAAAAGCATTATACGCTTTTTTTTTGTTCTCATTTCTAATTTCCAAAGAAAAATAGTGAAAAAGTACATGTACCCCCTTCGCAAAATTATCGTAAATTTGGTTTATCTATTATTTTGAATAACAAGATAAACTTCACAGAAATGTATCACTTGTACATCTAGTCTTTATACATAAGTACTTGTGGCTTATCTCTTATTTCATCTGACACTCTTTATTCTCTTGTTTTCAACTGTGTAACATCATGTATCGAATGAGACAATGGAAAAGACGTTGTCAGGAGTAATCAATTATACTGTCTAACTTTGTATGCAAAGATAAAAGAAAAATGGAAAAATAAATCAGAAAAAATGATTGGAAATGAAGAGAAAGAATGAAAGGAAAAGATAAAAAACTACGGATGGAAAATATCTAGGTAAAACATGACTTGTATTATGTGGCAGTAGCCAATGATGAATACACTTATGCACTAACAGACTGTAACATTAAACAAAACTATCTCTAAGAAAAAACAACATATGATAAAGCATGAAACTAATGCGCCTTCATCCAATGGGAATATCATACAAATCGATATATTCAATCCAGAAGATGTCATAGTATTCTCATATGAATTGTAGTCGATGCGAATTAGCATCGATATGTTAGTGCTTTAATCAATGCTGATGCAGGGGTTATCGGAGTTCCAGTGGTCACGAACATCGATGTCATCAGTGTTTTATAAATAACACTCATCGTTGGTAGTCAATAAATTGAAACTGTACAGCTCTACTCTCACTTTGTTATTTACATTATTCAATATTGTTTTGACGTTGTGAGAGAACAGATTGATCAGACGAGTTGATTATTCACATCGCACCTGTGTTCGCACTTTTGATGGTACATCGCGGCACTCATAAATGCCAGCAATAAAGTTTACGACTTTCGATTTCAGTTATAAACAATAGTAGAATGTTTGCTTCTCAAACTCGAATTATTTATTAGAAAGAATCCAAATTGAACGCAAAAGAAAACAATTTTCAGTATTTATTTTACGAAATAAAAGAGAGCTTGTAGCGTCATCTATAGTAAAAAATGTGTAGTGCAGGTTTTTTAGGCACATCAACTACATGAGAGTACATCAACAATGACTCAATGCTGTAGGTGTTAAAAGATTTGAAAACTATGCAACCGTTTTGATGAATACGCTAGCATAAAACATGCTCAAAAAAAAACTACCGGTATAGCATACATTATACCAATCAGTATATCTACAATAATTATCACATGGAAATTCGATTTTCATTTCATATTTTGTCATCATGCTTATGACTGAATTTAAACTAATTGATCATAATATTATAAAAAAAATATATAAATTCATATGTACCATCTACCCATCACAAAAAAAACAAAATAATTATTTTCGTTTTTCTTTGTTTTTCATTGTTCAACAAAATTCATGAAAGATCATTTATCTATTATCTTAAGAAACAAAATTTAGCAATTGTTGTTGAATGAAAAATTCATAAACTTGATCTGATATAAATACAACCGATCGTTATTGTATTTTCGTTCGAAACTAACAAAAAAAAAAAATTTCTAGCAACCATATGATGCATAATGTTAAAAATACTATCTAGGCCAAAATGATAAAAAAAAATACAGATCTAAATTTTCAACAATGTTTGTAAACCTCTCTCCACAATAGAAGAATTCGCGTCTACTAGTCTGTCCCATTTATTTCTATACTAGTTTTCAGAAAATGGAAATGATTTTCAGGATTAGGAAAGATATTGTTATGACTTTAAAAGTTCAGAAATGATAGTGACAACAGTTTTTTTTACAATTTTTCAACTCAAAAACTCTGAAAACTACGCATATTTGAATATAAACATAATAAGTAAGGTTTCAACTTTTTTGAAGAACTAATTAATTAAGGAAACACGAGCCTTCTACGAAGTCTTCTATTGCGGAGAGGAGATTTATACATTAATGAGTATGTTGTTGTTTTTCATTTGATGTTGAGTTATCGGTTACTTTTTTTTGCTTCTTTCCTTCGCTATCGTCGAATTTTACAGATAATGATAATGGAGAAATAGAAGTCGATATTGATTCTGAACGTTTTTTATATTGTTCAATATAAATTGGATGATAAACACTATAAAGAAATTGTCGAAGACCATTATGAAATTCAAGTGGCTGTTGTACATAACAAGCGTGAGAAGCATTTTTAATCATTAGTACTTCATTAGATGGAATTTGTTTAAGAACATTTATTGCAGATTGAAAATCTGTATCATTTTCACCATAAACAATTAATGTTGAAATCTTTAGAAATAAAAGTTTTATAGTAACATTATTACAAATAAAAATTAACTTACTTGAACTTGTTTATAATCATGTGTATCAAATTTTTTTGTTCCAACTGGAGCAATTGGTATAAAACCACGTATAGATTGTTGTTTAGCATAAGATTTTATAACATAAGGTAAAGAAAAACGACCACTCATAGATGGACTAATAATAACAAAATTTGAAAGACGAAGTAAGCGTATAAGTTTTGTCAACCATTGTGCAGCTGCTGTTTCTTGAATAACCGGTAATGAACTATTTCCATAGCCTAATATAAAATAAAACTAAATAATAACTATTAATGAAGATCTTAATTTACCGGGTAAATCAATTGCAAATGCTTGATAGCCCCAACTTGCTAAATATTGCAAAGTACCTAAAATTATTGAATTTTAGAATATATAAATAAATCAATGATAAAATAATACCAATTTTCTCCCATGTTTTAGAAGAAAATGCTTGACCATGAAGTAGAAGTATTTTAAAATTGCTTTCACCAGCTTCACGAACAAGAACATGTTGATCCTAAATATACACAAAAATTTTTCGACAGATGTTTTTTTTTTTCTTTACTAATTATTTGAACATGATCAGAAATCAATAGATTAAGGATTTTTTACATAGAAAATGATCAAGATTCGTAAGTATTTATGAGTATAACTCGTACCATATGATCAATGATCAAATCATATTTTCTAACTCTTAATAATATTCGTATATTTCAAAAACAATACATTTTTGTTTTGATTTCATTTTGTCATCATTTTAATCTCATAGATCTTGTCAGTGCAAGTGTTCAAACAAGGATCATACTGAATAAGAGAAAGAAAAATAACAAAAAGTATATAGAAATGAAGAACAAACATGTAATTACAAAAAAAGAAACATTCGAACAAATAATACGGTTAACATAAAACCTTGAATGAAGAAATAGGAAGAACTATTTGCTAGATAACTTCAGCAAAATTCTGAAATAGTAACACCTCTTCTATATCATAATAAGGGACAGAGAAAAGTCAACTAGCAGCTTTTTCAATTATTGTTGTATAGCCTATTAATCTCTTCAATTTTTTTAAGTATCTCATCGGAAGCTCTCTTCGAGATCAAATTTTTCTATATGTATTTCGGTTTGCTTTTTCAACAATTAATGGAGTCGGTTGAAGCGACTCAATATTTGTCTCAATATGAAAAATACATCTTTGTATCCTGTAGAGAAACTTTGTTCAATGTATAAACAAAAACAATTCGTTTCATTGTACACAAAACATCACTCGACGAAGACACGTATAGTAGAAGTGTGAGAGACTGAGCGTAGATTCTAGTCTTCTCTTCGCTTATACTATCACACCCACTGTAGAGAGATTATATTTTTCTTTTCGGCATTGCTATGGTCAATCTGAATGATCGGGTCTTTGGTTATCAGAGACAGATAGGAAAACAGCAGACTTCAACAGATTTCGATAGACTTCAAGATAGAAGTCTCTACTGTTTTCTTTTCAAGAAAAATCGAATAGATCCAAATGAATCACGGAAACACTTATGCCAAAAACAAGGTTTGTTTTGACTGTGAGTAAATAAAAATCGATATATTTTATTGATTAATTTCACAAGAAAGAAAAACAAATGTATTTTAACATTTGAAAATATTTAATTCTAACAGATACAATCATCTTTTTTACCTGTTCATGATTCATTGTAATCATATAAGTTCGAATGGGTACTTTTGGTATATCTATTTTTCCATCATTAGCGTATAATATTGCTGGTTTACTATTTGATTTGACATCAGCTTTAATACGAATTAATGCATCACCATCATGATTTGATATAACATATGCATTACTATCATCAACAAATTCAAAATTATCTCGGTTTTGATGATATGAAATATAATTTAGTATTAGAACAGCAACACCAAAAATCAGAATACCACAAGTGATTAATTTAAAAAATGTTGATCGTACTATCATTTTTTTTAAAGTTTCTCTGAAAAAGAAAATAGCGGATGATAATAGGAGAAAGTCTTATCTTTCTTTTTCATTTCATCTTTCTTTTTTATTATTGACTTAATATAAGAGACAATGAAAATGATGAAGGTGAAGACGTTTTTATTTTAAAAACAAAAACAAAACAAAAAAATAATGTCTAGTCGATGTGCCCATTGTGAAAAACGATTTATTACTGGTGATAGAAAATCGAAATATAATAATCTTGAATATCATCAAGATTGTTTTCAATGTTCAACATGTCATCAACCAATCAAACAATCATTTTATAATTTAGGTAATAATAAATATCGTTGTTCTGAGTGTCAAAAGAAATCCCAAGTTACTGTTAACTGTATTCAATGTTCACAACCAATTAATGATAGTTCTTATATTGAATACAAAGGTCAACCAGCTCATGCTGATTGTTTTGTATGTTATTCATGTTCACAACCATTTGATAATATGGTTTATGTTGAACATAATAATCAACCATATTGTGTATCATGTCATATGGATCAATTTGCTCAAACATGTGCTGTTTGTAAACGTCCATTTCCACCAGGTATATCCACACGAAAATATGAAGACCAATACTTTCATATAGAATGTTTTCGGTGTTTTAAATGTGGAAAAATTATATTATCAAAAAGTTATACAATCAATAACGACCAACAACGTCTTTGTGATATGTGCAGTTAAATTTAAAAACCAGATTAACTTCTATCATTTTCTGTAATGATTTAAGACAACGAACTCAATCGATATTTTTTTCTTTTTTGCGTGTGATTTCTTTCTTTTTTTCTCTTCTATTTTATAAAGAACATATTAAACTAGAACAAAACAAGTTTTGAATAAAGAAAAGAAAAAGAAAAAAAAAAAATTCTTCAGCACACTGAAAATATAACCACAGTACTGCTCGTTGCCATGTCACACAAGGGTGCCTCTGTTTGTTCTGTTTCTTTTCTCTTGTTCTCCCTCGTTTTTTTTTCTCATACTCTTCACATATACTAACATTACGCTGTACTCTCATTTATACTTTATCGTAGTAAAATTTTAACTGCGCATTGAAATTGTGTTTGAAAAGATATGAGTAAATATGCTCAACCAGCACGAAATATTGGTCAATCGCCTATATCTTTTTCCATTAATGCACTTGAAGAAATAGTTCGTAATTGCCAACGTAATGAAGAACGTTTACATGAACTTGAGCGTCACACACGTCATGAACGAAAAAAAGCTGAACGTCTTTTACATGAAACATATCGAGCAATGCAAAATGGTGATAGTCAAAATACTAGTAATATTCTAGAGAATTCAACAAACAATGATCATAGTTACAGAGATAATCAAAAATCGAAATCAAGATCATCAAAACAATTTTATGTTTCACTCGATGATGAAAATGAAGAAAATGAAAATCATTATCGTCAACAAAGTAATAATAATAATAATAATAATAATAATAATAATGAAATTGTAAAACAAAATAAACATTTACTTGAAAGAGTCGAAAAATTACTTGCTGGTGACGGTACAACAACATCTAGTGATATTATGTCATCACAAGAACGACAAAAAAATATTACAGAAAAACCAACATCACCTATTGAAGATGATCTTGATGAAAAATCATTAAATATTATTGATCATAAAAACTTTTCTGAATCTCGTCCACTTCAATCAGCATGTTCAATTGAATATGATCTTTCGACTGTGGATCATTTATTATCGGAACGAACACCAATTAATAATCATCGAATAAAATCTAATGTTCAATTCAATGAAGAAGATCAAAGCAAAAAAATTAGTGATTATAATAACGAAAAAAAGATTTTACCAGATAAACACGATCAACAATTTTATGAGCGTTATAATAATTACATTGAAACAGATCGTTCTGTTTCTTCTAGAATAGAAAAACAACCAACAACAACAGATGATGAAACATATCAATATGAATCCCGCCCAATGTCAAGAATAAATAATAAAGATGAAGAATTAGCTGATTTAGCACGTCGATGTGAAGATCTTCTTGCACGTTTACATTCACAACGAAATCGTGCTGCAATGCTTGAAAATTCTACTCATCGTTACGATTATCATCAACAACAAACATCACCTCATTCATCAACCTATGAATCCAAACAAAATTATCATCATCATCAATCCATATCATCGACACCACCTCCAGTAGCACCATCACCAATATCTCTTCAACAAGCTCTTGAACTTCTTCGTCCAGAATTTATATCACGTTCACGTCAACGTGTTAGACGTGTACGTCTTTTACGTGAAGAACGTGAACGTAATGCTGAAATTGATCGTGAACGTCGACAAATGCTTCTATTTTCATGTACAACTTGTTGTTCAAATCCAGCAAAACGTTCTGTATCAGCACCATCATCACGTCGTAATATTTCATATATTGTTCCATTTGAGCAATCAGATTATTCACGAATACCTTCGACATATCATCAAATGAAAAAAGCAACAAAGAAAAAATATGATCAATTACCTGAAGTAAGTGATCGTCGACGTCAACATCAAATGGATGAAATTCGTCGACAAAATCTTTTACGTGCTAAACTATTTCGTGCACGTCTTCGACAACATGTTGCACGACATGGTCGAACAAATATTGATGAATCATTAACAATAATTGATGCATAAGAATAATCCAAAAAAGAAAAATTATAAAACTAAACTATTTTTTATTCAAATAAGTGTATAAGGGATACGTTTTATTCATACTTGTTATTATAAAAAGATTTGATATTCTTCTTAAATAAACTTGTGTTTGTTGACAAGATAATAAAATTAATAAATTAGATTTGATTATCTTCAATTCTATTTTACTTAACTAAGAGTAAGTATACTATCTATCTGTCATAATGATATCTACCATCATTAGATATCAGAAAGATAACAAAAAACAACAGCAGACGAGAAAATCTTGTTTAGTATTTGTTTCCAAACTTAGAAAAGAATAAGAACAAGAAAAAAAAACCAATATTTGCATTAATCGATATTTTTTCTTGTTACTTACGGAAAGCAACAAACACTATCGCTTGAAAATAGAAAGAAAAATCCGGTTCGTCAATTACTTCATCTCAGTCAGTAAGATATTAGTTTTTTTTTGTTAAGTGGGAAAATTATGGAACTCTTTCGTCAACGTCTACTACAAAGTACAACAAAACAATCTGATTTGATTGAAATATTTTCAGCTATTGATCGAGGTAGTAGGTTTTTCTAATGAATATTCATACTAATTCTTTTTACTTTCTCAATATTAGATCATTCAGGTCGTATAACATTTGAAGAATTTCGTGCAGCAGTTAAATCTCTTAATCTTGGAATGAAAAATGACGAAGAAATAAAACAGCTTTTTCGTCAATTTGATACAACAAATAATGGTCAAATTGATCTAAATGAATTTCTTCAACGATTAAGACCATCTATGAGTGAACGACGTCAAAAAGCTGCTTTAAATTTATTTAATACAATGGATGTTAATCATGATGGAAAATTAACAATGCTCGATCTTAAAGTACACTTTAATTTCTTTTTTTTGCTCTAACGTAGAATGGAAATTTCAAAAATGTTTTGTTTGTAGACCAAATATGCTACTCAAATAAAGGCTAATAAGAAAAAATCTGATCAAGCTGTCAATCAGGTGAGTAAACCCTTATATAGAAAGTGTTCGCAACGTGAAATCTAACTGAGTAAGCTTTTTTCTTTTTATTCATACATGGTTTGATAGAACTTCACCTTAAGATTAAAAAAAGTGGTCTTTTGCAAAAATCCATTGTTTTCAATGTTTGCGAAATTCTTTGTTCTGTTTTCTTTTCTTAAATTTCTGTAATTTATTCTTTCAAATTTAGCGTCAAAAACTGAGTATGAAAACATCGCTATTTAATCGAATTTGATCCTTGAGCTTTATTGATGACATCTACCGAAATCGCTTCTTTTCGCATGTTTGTAAGCTATTTTTTATAAAATTATCTAGTTTTTTTGCGTAAGTGATGAAAGCAAATGTTTTATATCTTCCTTTTATCACATGATGAGTCATAAAAGTATACATATCTTTTCTCTTTTCTTTCCTTTCCTATGTCGAAAAAAAAATCATTTTGCTAAAGTTTGGGACATATTAGATAGAATTCTGCTCGTATTTCTCTATTGTCTTCATTAAAACAAAGTTTTCATGCAATAAGATTATCATATTCGGAATCATCGGAACAAATTGAATGGATTGATGTAAGTTTCTAAAACTTTTATTACCCTTCACTTTTTGATAAAAATGTCAATCAACACTTCAGTTGAAAACTGAAGTCGACAGAAACAATAACAATATAGATCAGTCGATCCAACTTTTAATACTGATTCTGAATATAATAATTGTATTACGTAAAAGTTTTATTTTAATGAAGAAAGTTGAGAAATACAGAAACAGTTCTAGCTCTTGTGCCCATAATTCAACAAAAAATGATTTTTCTCAATAAAGAAAAGAAAAAAAAGCTATGCATATTATTCTGGCTGATATTAAGATAACATTAATGAGATAAAATATTTGGTTTCATCACTTATACAAAATTAACTAGTTAGATTTACAAAAAATGGCCTATAAAAACGTGAATAGAACCAATTTGAGTTGCAACATTCAACAAAACTTTTTGGTGGAATTCGATTTAATAACGGTTTTTTACTCCTGAAGAAAAGTCCTTTAAGTGATAAATTGCTTTCGAGTTGGAACTATATTCAATAGATAAGGTCTAGTGAACACGTAAATGCTCTAGAATAGTTCGAGCTGCCAGGCCTTTGTTTCTGAGATGTCGCATGTTTAATAGATTTTTCCTAGAGCACCCCAGTTTTCAAGAGACATTGTAGTTTTGAATTTTGACCTAACATTTTGTCCATATGAAGGCGCCTATTAAGCTAGCTTGTAGGACATATTTTAGAATTTTATCAAACCATCCATCTTTTTTTACAGTAATTATGGCTAAGCGCCTATTTTTTTAAAAATTCATATCGCAAAGAGATTTCTTGAAAAAATTCTTAATTTTTTTCTATAAGCTAATTATAATCAGTGCTTTTATGTAGGCAAAGTTTTAGCACAAAATTGAACAATATAATTTCGCTGGAAAACTAGAGCCCTACAGAAAAAATTCACTAAATATCCAAAATCTCAACGACAAAGACCCAGTAGCTCGAATCACTCGACGATATTTACTTGTTCACTAGACCGTATCGATTGAATATAGTTTCAATTCAATCAAAAAAGAAATAGAACAGGATATTTTTGCAAAAAAATCACGTTTTTCTTGATCAAAAGATCAAGCTCTATCGGAGCATGCATAAGAAAAAAAGAGAAAAAAAGATCCCTTACTTGAGTTTCGTGTGCCACGTACTTTTACAAAGTCTAATCTTGTTTCTTTTTAGGCACTTCAAAATTTTTTAAATAAATTCGATACACGTGGTCAAGAGGATGGTGTGATTGATAAAGATGAATTTCTCGGATTCTGTTCAATGCTAAGTGCTACAATCAAAGATGATATTTACTTTGAACATATTCTTCGAACACTATTCGATTTTCGTCTCTAAACATACTGAACAAAAAAAAAACAAGACATTATTATATAAATTTTATTTTTTTTTAAACGAAAATAGAACGAAACAGCATGAAACACCTGAGTTAAATTTCA